GTTGGCAGTGTCTTCCAGCACCCACCATTCTCTTACCCTAGCTTCCATTGTTTCTCTTGAAGTATTTATGGTGGTTAAATCTTGTGAAGTCTTTGGTTGGTTTTGGTAATTTTTCAGCAACCATATTTTTAGGTGTTGCTTCTGTCCCATTCTTTTTTTTTTTTTTTCTCCTTCCAGGACTCTATGTATGTGATAAACTTTTCGATATATTTTTTATTTTCTCCATTTTCTGCCATTTTGTCTTTCTGACCTAGTTTCCAGCTTACTGAATCTCTCTTCTACTGAGTTACTGCTTATCCATTAAGTTATTAATTTCAGCTATTGTATTGCTAAATTTCAGAATTTCCATATGGTTCATTTTTTATAATTTGCATTTCTCTGCCAGAGTTTCAGTCTTGTCTTTTCTTTCCTTGCGTATGTTTGGCAGTAACTCTGTTTTCTTGATCCCTTGTGATTTTGTGGCCGTTGTTTGCTTCTCTTGTTTTCTGTTATGTCGACAGTCTTTAAGTCTCGTGTGGCTTATTTTTAGTGATAGATGTTATATATGAAAAATGGTATAACTAATTTGAAGCCTTGGATGATATTCTTCTCCAGAGAAGATTTACATTTGTCCTTGCCAGGGCCTTGGAAATCAGCAATCCAGGGTTGCCTCATCCAGTCAGAAATTGAGATGATTAAAGCTGGCCGTCATTCTGTTAGGGCAATTTGCAGCTTGTTCTTCAGGGTCCCAACCTAAGGAGTGGGAGACTTAGCAGGGCCTATCCTCGGTGGAGAGGAGAGCTCCAGTGTTTATCTTTTTGTGAGTCTGTGAGTTCTAGCTCAGCTTGTTAACCTCTTCTTTTTCCCTTCTGTCATGGGAAGAAAACCCAAGGGGGTTGGGGAAAAGAAGACCCTGCTCTCTGGTGTTCCCTTTTCTTAGCCCTGAAATTGTTACGTTTTGATTACCTTTCTAGTTCTTAGTCAGAAGATTGATCTAAATTACCTAGTTTATCATTATTGGAATGGTTCCTGTATATAGTTTTATTGAAGTGGCACCCCTTCACATATTTCGTGAGTTTACCATAACACTGTTCTGTTTGGGCCTGATTTTAACTTCATTTTTATTTTCTTTGGGTCTGGTTTTAACTTCATTTTTATTTGCTTTGGTTTTTGTGTTTGTTTTGGATACTAACTTTATAACTCTTACCCATTATCTGATAGTAAATGTACACATTCTTTATATAATCTTTTAAAATCTTGAAAGTAGTGTAACATCGAGGATGTTCTTAACTTGCTTATTTGCTTTTTAGGATAACTTTCCATTTGATCCTCCATTTGTTCGAGTGGTGTTACCTGTTCTCTCAGGAGGGTAAGTTTAAGTGATTACTTAAAAAATTTTTTTCATTTTTTTTTTTTTTTTTTTAAGAGAGACAAGGTTTCACTATGTTGCCCTGACTGGTCTTGAACTCCTGGGCTCAAGCGATCCTCCCACCTTGGCCTCCCACAGTGCTGGGATTGCAGGCATGAGGCTACTGTGCCTGGCCTACATGTTTTTATTTTTTGTTTTTTTTTTTTTTTTTAAATATAGCGTGCACCAGAATCATTTGGAGAGCTAGTCCCAGGGTTTCTGATTTCAGTAGGTCTGTGGTGGGGCCCAAGTGTTTACATTTTGAAGAAGTTTCCAGGTGAAGTTGATGCTATTGTTCTGGGGCCTACATCTGGAACCATTGCTTATAAAGCATTATGTTGATAGGTAGAGTTTTTAATGATTCATACATACACATATTTATACATACACACACACACATATATACACACACACATGCTTTTTACCATAAAAAACAAATGTTTTTCAAATGTAAATTGTGATTGAGGGTTTAGAGAATGTTATGATTAGAGAGTGGTCCCCACGTGCTTGTGATCCTATTTGGTACTTCTAGAAATAATCACAGGAAATCCCATGGACCTATGGAGCTGGCTGTCTAATTACTTCTAGAGGTAATAGTTGCAGTTTAGTAGAGTCAAATGGTAATTGTCATGCAATTTTACTAAAGTTTGTATTCTTTTTATGGTTGGAAATCTTATAGAAGGTAGAGAAAAGATCACAATTTGTTAGGTTAGTTATGAAATGAATTTGTTAGTTACGAGGGTTCTGCAAACCCTCGAAAGTATGAGCAGTTTAAATTGAGAATTTTCAAACACTCAGCTGACTAATTCTATTATATGCCATAATCTATATTATGGTGATTAAAATCTAAATATATCCAGCCCTTACTTTCATCATTTCTGTGGCTGAGATAGTAATAGTTGCATTTAGGGTAAAAATATGAGTGACTACTTCAGACTTCACAGCTTTCTCCAGAAGAGCTGTGTTCCTACAGTTATTTTTAGTTGTATTTGCTTTACATGCTTGTATATGTGTTTTGGGGGCTAACATCCTGTTAAGATTTCTGTGTAGTCAGAGTACATATTAACATTCTATGGTGTTGATACTACAGAATAGTTATTTGGGCATGATGTCCATCTGTAAAGCTCAGGGAAACAAAAATGTGTGTGTGTGTGTGTGTGTGTGTGTGTGTGTGTGTGTGTGTGTTTAATGTTGGTATTACATATGGATATGCGGAGCTCATTTTGAGTTCTGCCACATGGTAAAGCAATATTATTTTTATTGATTCATTGAGACAGGGTCTTGCTCTGTCAATATTATTTTTATTGATTCATTGAGACAGGGTCTTGCTCTGTTGCCCAGGCTGGAATACAGTGGTGCAATCATGGCTCACTGCATCCTTTGCCTCCTGGGCTCAAGCTGTCATCCCACCTCAGCCTCCTGAGTAGCTGGGATGCCACCATGCCCAGCTAAGTTTTAGATTTTTGGTAGAGATGGGGTTTTGCCATGTTGCCCAGTTTTGGTCTTGAACTCCTGGGGTGAAGCCATTCACCCGCCTCAGCCTTGCTAAGTACTGGGATTACAGGTGTGAGCCACCATGTCTGGCCCAATTTTGTTTTTAAAAATTATTTATTTAATTATGTTTTGTTTCTGCTTTTTTGTTTTTTAATTTTTTTTCAATCTTGTTTCTTAAGGGTTTACTTATCTGACACCTGTAGCCTAATCTTTGCCATATTCCCCAAAATATTCTGTGAGTGCTAATATAGTGGGTTTTTGTTGTTATTTGTTTGTTTTTTTGAGATGGAGTCTTGCTCTGTTGCCAGGCTGGAGTGCAGTGGTGTGATCTTGGCTCACTGCAACCTCCGCCTCCTGGGTTCAAGTGATTCTCCTGTCTCAGTCTCCTGAGTAGCTAGGACTACAGGTGCACACAACCACGCCCAGTTAATTTTTGTATTTTTAATAGAGATGGGGTTTCACCATATTGGCCAGGAAGGTCTCCATCTCTTGACCTTGTGATCCGCCCATGTTGACCTCACCAAGTGCCAGGATTTCAGGCGTGAGCCACTGTACCCAGCCTAGTGGTTTTTTAATAGATGTTTGATTCGAGGGGATTGCAAGGTTTTGGGAAAACCAGGTTCAAAATATCTTTTACCAAAGGACTTCTTGGAGACTTAATGCTGTTTTCAAATTTGTTTAATAATTTACATGATAGCATCTCAGAGGATGGTGTGCTCTGGCTTACCCTCTGGGAAATGCTGCTGTGTTGGAAATCCGGAGTTTAGAGTGATTCCCACGTGTTTTCTGCTGCAGAGCAGGAAATGCTAAAGTGATTCCCTCAGAGCAGATGTTACAAGTCTCCTCTTGACAAGGTTGTTACAGAGTTGATCACAAGTATACTATTACAGTGAGTGGAAGTCCCAGGTTGGGTTTGAAACAGAGTTGTTTAGAATTGTGTACAGTTTTATTTTGTTACCTTTAAAGCTTCCCTATGCTGTTTTTTTGGATTAGGCAGTAAAATTGCTATAAAAAGTACTTCTCTTGTCATAAAACCTAATGATCAGTTTTGGAAGTTGAATGTTAGGTAAATCAGCCAAATATTTACATATACAAAATAAACCCAAGCCTGAAAAATAGTAAATTTTTAACCTTTCTGTCTCTTTTTCACAACACCAGCCTTTTACTAGCCACCAAGCCATAGTTCTTATGTTTTTCATAATTTAATGTTAAAATATCTTTAATGAAGCCTTTACTAATTGGGGAGAAACGACATAACTATTGTGCTGTTATGCTTTAGGTTTTTTGTTGTTGTTGTTGTTGTTTGAGACAGAGTCTTACTCTGTTGCCTAGGCTGGAGTGCAGTCTCGGCTCACTGCAATCCACAACTCCTGGGTTCAAGATATTCTCATGCTTCAGCCTCCTAAGTAGCTGGGATTGCAGGCACATGCCACCACACCCAGCTAATTTTTGTATGTTTAGTAGAGACAGGGTTTCATCATATTGGCCAGACTTGTCTCAAACTCCTGGCCTCAAGTGATCCACCCACCTTGGCCTCCCAAAGTGCTAGGATTATGGCATGAGCCACCGCACCTGGCCAACTATTGTGCTTTAGTTTTATGCACTTGTTTATAAAATTGTATATGTTTATTCAGTATTCCCATAAACATGGGAAAAGGAAGGCAGGTCATTTTCTGTTCAAAATCTTATTTGAGAGAAAATAATGATCAAGGAAAAGATTTGGAAGAAATTTACAAATTCAGAATAAATATATAAAAACTTTTTTTTTTTTTTTTTTTTTTTTTTGGGGACAGTCTCACTCTGTTGCCAGGCGCCAGGCTGGAGTGCAGTGGTGCGTTCTCGGCTCACTGCAACCTCCGCCTCCTAGGTTCAAGTAATTCTCCTCCCTCAGCCTCCCAAGTAGCTGGGGCTACAGGCGCGTGCCACAACGCCCAGCTTATTTTTTTATTTTTTAGTAGAGATGAGGTTTCACCATGTTGGCCAGGATGGTCTCGATCTCCTGACCTCGTGATCCGCCTGCCTTGGCCTCCCAAAGTGCTGGGATTACAGGCGTGAGCCACCGCGCACGGCCTATAAAAAATTTTTATCGGCTTTGCAGACGCCGCCGCCGCCTGGAGCCTTCATAGTATCAGCCATGGTCATCCCCACCGTGTTCTTCGACATTGCCATTGACGGCGAGCCGTTGAGCTGTGTCTCTTTCGAGCTGTTTGCAGACAAGGTTCCAAAGACAGCAGACAACTTTCATGCTCTGAGCACTGGAGAGAAAGGATTTGGTTATAAGGGTTCCTGCTTTCACAGAATTATTCTAGGGTTTATGTGTCAGGGTGGTGACTTCACATGCCATAATGGTACTGGTGGCAAATCGATCTACGGGGAGAAATTTGATGATGAGAACTTCATCCTAAAGCATCCAGGTCCCGGCATCTTGTCCATGGCAAATGCTGGACCCAACACAAACGGTTCCCAGTTTTTCACCTGCACGGTCAAGACTGAGGGGTTGGGTGACAAGCATGTGGTCTTTGGCAAGGTGAAAGAAGGCATGAATATTGTGAAGGCCATGGAGCGCTGTGGGTCCAGGAATGGCAAGACCAGCAAGAAGATCTCCATTGCTGACTGTGGACAACTTTAATAAGTTTGACTTGTGTTTTATCTTAACCACCAGACCATTCCCTCTGTAGCTCAGGAGAGCACCCCTCCACGCCATTTGCTCGCAGTATCCTAAAATCTGTGCTCTCGCTGCAATTCCCTTTGGGTTCCATGTTTTTCTTGTTCCCTTCCATGCCTAGATGGACAAAGTTAAGTTTATGATTATGAAATAAAGACTAAATAACAACAACAAAATTTTTTTTTATCAGAAACATTTTAAAATGTGATTATAAAATTGACCAGTATAGCTTTTCAACATTTTATTGTACGAATTCCAAGAATTTAAGTTTATGACCTTAGTTTACCACCTAGAACAGAGACAAATACGTGAAGTTATGAATAATGCCATTTTCAGTTTTAAAATCTGTTACATAGTTTCTTTGATTCTTTTATGCCGCAGTATTATCATTATTCAAATGAATAATTTGAATAATAAATCAGATTGTAACCTACCCAAATCTTCTGATCCCTAATAAAGTGTTTTTCATTATACCAAATGCCAGCTGGTGAAAGTAAACACAATCAGGTATCCAGGAAAGGTAATGAAGGATTCAGAGAATACGAGACCAACTTGAGCTATAACACAAGGAGGGTAGGATTCATGTAGAAGTGTTGTTGGAAGTAGTGCTGACATAGTGTCTTGTACTTAAATGGTTTTGTGGATTGGTGATAGATTTTTTTTTTCCTGGTAAGTAAACTGTCACCCTGGATATTCATCTTTCTGTATAACTGGTTGAGAAACAGAGAAATAACAGTAAAGAAACTGTTGTAGAGTACATCTGGTGACAGCAGAAGAGAATATGAGACACATTGTGCTCACAGAGCCTAGAAAGGTGTGACAGTAGTTGAGGACCATGCTGTTGTCTTAGAGTGAAGTGAGGACATTGGTTTGGTAGTCGTGGGAATGGAAGAAGGAATGAAATGTAAAAGCTCATTGGAAGCAAAATCAAAATGGCTTGGTCTTCATAGTCAACTGTCAAGTGAGGAGGAGGAATTACTGGCTGACTTGGGAAGAAGTAAAAAATGTGAAATACTCATAAAACGCAATTCCAGCCATCTCAGTCAGGGTAAAGCTGAAGCACTGTGTGATTCTAGATAGATTATTGATCAGTTTTGTTCCATGTATTTTATATCCCATATCTTCTAGCTGTGATCCTATTTTTTGACATAGCCAAAGATTTTTTTAAACTAACAGCCTTATTAAGATACAGTTTATATATGATAAAGCTCACCCTTTGAAGTGTACAATTCGGTGGTTTTTAGTATATTCGCAGAGTTGTGCAGCCATTACCACTACCTAATTTCAGAACATTTTCATCACTTTTTCAGAAAGAAACCCTGTACCCATTAGCAGTCATTTCCTATACCCCTTTCCCCCACCATTGATCCTCGCAACCTCTCATCTAATTTCTTTCTCTGTAGATTTGCCTATACCAGACATTTCATATGAATAGAATGATACAAAATGTGGCTTTTTGTGACTGGTGTTTTTTACAGTGATTTAAAATCAAATTCCTGAAGAGGCTAAGCTTAGGATAGTGTTTGCTGTACAACTTTGGCACCTGAACTTGTTTAAAGTTGAAAATATTATATTACTGTGTCCATATATGTGGCATATTATCCTTAGATGACCCTTACTTAGATTATTAATATTTTTTACCTAGTATACTTGGGAACTGTCTCAGTATTCAGCAGGAACTCTTTGGAGGCAAAGAGCAGTAAGAATTTGAAACACATAACTGACAGAAGTAGAATTGACAACTTTTAGGTAGAAATGCTGCCGATAGTGTATATTAAGGAAACATTTACTCATCTTTTTGTGTAGGTACTAGAACTACTTCTGTCTTGTGTTTAGACTTCAACAGTATTTGTGTAGGTATTATGTACTTGTACAAATGCACTTTCTTTTGTCCTGAAAACTCAAAAACTTTCTTCCCATCTCCTGAGACTCTCTCTGCACTCCCAAAGGAAGAGTGGGGTACCTTTAAGGAAAGGTGGTGATGGTTTGATAATGGGTAGCAATGTCTACTGTATACTTCCTTTTCCCAAAACAAGTTCCTGTCTGCCATCAGCATTTCCAAAATTTGAAGATCATCTGTGGTGTTAACTCATTAACCAATTATTAGACTTTGAGCAATTGTGGAACCAAAATCTGAATAAGTACCTGGATCTTCTAATTATGTTAAATCAGTGAATACACATTATGCACAATACTCTTTTAGCCCAGTAGGGGATTTAAAGAGTGGTAGATAGATTTCTGTTTCAGAAATAGAATACACAAAGAAAAAAAATTTTTAAATCCCATCTTTCTTCATCTCATTTTAAATTTTTGGAGAGTTTTTCTTTCCTTTCCATCAATCTTTCTCTTTGAAAGGTTTCAGGGTTTGGGCAAAGCAAATGGAAAAGACACTTGCTTGGATTCTTCAGGGTTGGGGAGTCAAAGAGGGCTTCTTTCCCTCATTTTATTATTAAATGATGTCACTATAACAATTATTAATGTGAATGGTCTACAGCAGAAGTTTTTAGATGCATTCTCTGCAAATAAATTTGACACAAGGATATCTTTGGTTATCTGGAGTGGGAGATGTGCAGGCTAGAGTGGTCTTGGCAAGTTGTATGTAGGGTGGGAAGATGGCATTTGGACGAGTAGAAAGCAGAAGGACTCTCAGGCAAGGAAGAGGCGTGGGCAGAGCCCCGGAGGACAGAACAGTTTGTGGTGGACTTGGTGTCCACATAGACCTAATCAGTGATCTTAGCTTTTGTGTTTTCAAAATTGCCACAGTTTTTCTTCTTAAACTATCATCCTCTTGATTTTTAGGCATGATATTTATGTATTTTGAAATTTAAAATAACATTAAAGGAGAAATGAAATTATTTTGTTTGAGCAAGAGTTAAAAGATTAAAACATTTTTCTCTAAATGATTTCCTAATGGGAGATTTGATACATCCCCAGAACTTGTCTTTGGTGCAGAGAGTAATCTTCAGGTCTAGAAAGAGCCTGAGGAGTCTCAGAGAGGAGATCCATGGTCAGAACCATTTGATTCTCACAACAGAACCATAAAAGTGTGCAGATGTTCATATTATGCATAGGATAAGGTCAATGCCATTGTCAGGGGAATAACTCTTGACTGTAACATGATGGTAGAGAAAGTTTCAGACGTAAAGAACACTCGAATGCCATTTAAGGAAACTGGTTCTTCTGCCCCTATTCTTTGGAATATTTAGGGCTAAGTTCTTAGTTACTGACATCATAAAAAATCTGAAAGTATTCAGTCCTAAGAACCATTTGAAAACATTGACTAGAATTTCAGAGGTATGACATTAGCGTGCTAACATTAGAATTTTTAAATTACCCGTAGTCCTGTATCCCTAACAACTGTTTGCATGTTTACATGGTATTTTCTCATCTATACTTGTGTGCATATTTTCTTAGTAATGGCACTTAGAAATTGTTTAAGGAGGAATAATTCTCAAGAATTTTGTGTGATTACTTTTTTCTTTTTAAGGTATGTATTGGGTGGAGGAGCATTATGTATGGAACTTCTCACAAAACAGGTGAATTTTCTTATGGTACTCAATTTTAACCCTCAATTTAGTGTTTTGATAATGTAAATTAGATCGTAAGTAGAAAGTTCTTCTGTAATAGTTCTTACTCTTAAAGAAATTTTAGTTTATTTTTTAAATAGCTCCTACTTTCAAGAACGAAAAAGGTAAACCAGTAAAATGACATTGTACTTGGTGCTGAATCTATGCTAGGATAGGAATTAAGAGTGACCTTTATTTACGGTTTTAATTTGCTCATGTTGGGCACTTGGAACTTAGGTTTGTTGTTGTGTGTGTGAGATATTCTGGAAATGGGCCAATTTTACTTTTCCCCCTTGACTATAGACTTTTAAACACCGATTTGCTGCTGTTGAGTTACATGCCGTTTTGTTAGGCTTTCTCAAGTGGGAATCAGAAATGCTGCCATATTTTAGAGATGTTTTGTTCTTCCTGTAGGGCTGGAGCAGTGCCTACTCGATAGAATCGGTCATCATGCAAATAAATGCCACCTTAGTCAAAGGCAAAGCCAGAGTGCAGTTTGGAGCAAATAAGGTACTTTTATTAAGAATTTTACATAAACCATAAGATATATTTAATATTACTTTATGAGGCTTCTACCTGTCTTAATTCTTTTATGAGATAGTTTCATTTTCATTTGGTTTGTTTTCTTGTTACAAAATGTGATCTATAGCAAATATAGAAGTATAAGAAAATTAAAGGTACTGATAATTGCTGAATGATTTAGTATCTTCTTTTAGTCTTTGTTATATTTGCTGTAGATAAACATGCCTACAGTTGTAAATTTGTTACCGGTATGTATACCCTAATATGTTAAAAATTATATGTACTTTGGAGTTTAAAAAAATTGAGTTCATGTTGTAGAATAACTAATTCCTGATAAGCTTTTATGTGCTAGGCTCTAGTCTTTTTATTTATTTGTTTATTACTACTTTTTTTTCCTCTGTGCCTATGCTTACCAAGATTTTTTTATATTTTATTTTTTATTAACTCTCAATCCTCTTAATAACTTAAAAAGTAGGTACTATTGTTATATGCATTTTGTAGATGAGGCAGCTGAAGCATACAGATGTTAGATAACTTGTCTAAGGTCACAAGTGGCAGAGCAAGGATTGGAACCAGGCAGTCTGGCTGCCCTAGCCCCAACCAAGAGGAGCTGAGAGCAAGCCATGGGGCATAAGAATGTTGGTCAGACTGATTTTCTGTTCAGTTAACGTGAAACATAGGTTGTAACATTAATTTTAGAACATTAACAAGAAAGCCTTCCAAAGCCAGATGTTTCTTACCATGACTTTTAGCAAGAATTTGTGGTTTTTAAAGGCAAGATGGTGCTCTGAGAAGCTTCCATTCACTATGGAGGGAATGGTAGTTGAGTTGAATAGTGAAATGCCGGAGCACACAGCCTTTAGGGCAGCTTCTGACCTCTTTCTATTGTCAGGAAAGGCGCTTATCTTTCCCTGCTGCCCATAACCTCCAGTCATGTTTTACAGAATCCCCTAGACTGTGATCATATTCAGATGAGAGATTGTTTTGTTTTTTTCCGGGGTAGGAGGAAGTGAGTCACCACCTATACTAAGCAGTCTAATCTTCTGTGTAAGTGAGCACGGTTAGGGAGCCATATTTCTTGGAGAATCTCAGGATTATGCAAGATGGTAAAGTAGTCTCATGTTAGTGGTATCTACAACTGTTATCAGAAGCAGACACAGATGCTTTTTGTAGGAAAGGATCTCTAATTTAAGCCTGTAGGATTCCCAGAGATTAAAAGCAGGCAAATATGAATTCAGTCAAATCATAGCATTCAAGTAGTCAACCCAGCATATTTGAGAATTGTCAGAAACAATAAATAATAGTTATGTTTCCCCAAAGACTGTAGGTTTTAGAATTATCAGCTACAGAACACAGACTTCAGATACTAGAATTGTGAGAAAATAGTTACATGTGAAGTCTAATATAAAGAAAAAAAGATGGAGTGATAAAATTGAGCAAGCAGTAAGCCCATCAGAAGTGATGAGGAAAACCTGAAAAGAAAATGGATGAAATATAACTTACAGAAATAAACTATAGCTGGGTATGGTGGCTCATGCCTGTAATCCCAGCACTTTTGGGAGGCCGAGGCAGGAGGATGGCTTGAGCTCAGGAGTTCCAGACCAGCCCGTGCAACATGATGAGAACTTGTCTCTACAAAAAATACCGCCCCACCAAAAAAATTAGCTGGGTATGGGGTATATGCCTATAGTTCCAGCTACTCACGAGGCTGGGTTGGGAGGATCACTTGAGCCCAGGAGGTCAAGGCTGCACTGAGGCATGTTCATACCATTGCACTCCAGCCTGGGTGACAGTGAGACTCTGTCTCAAAATAAAGAAAGAAAAAATGTAACTGCTGAAATAAGAAACTCAGTAGATTAGACACTAGAAGAGAATTAATTGATTAGATGATTATCTCCAAAAAAATAAGTTAGTATGTTACATAGAGAGACATGAGAATAGATGATAGGGCAGAAATTGCTGAGGTGGGTTGGGGAGAGATCAGAATGAGGTCCAAAATATGTCTTAGGGGAATCCCAGGAGCAGATATTAGAATTCTACCAGAAAGTGAGAGAAATAGACGTTTTAAAGATGATAGAAGCAAGTGTGCATAAATCAGTCACAACAAATGTAAATGGACTAAAGGTACCAGTTAGGTTGAATTAATAAAAGAAAATCCAGCTGTTTTAATCATTATATTTATTAAGATACAAGAAGATTGGAAGTTTATTTATTTTTTGCCTCATCCAATACGTATTTAATCTAGATTTACATGTTGCTTTTAGTTGTCATCACTGTAGTTCTTTAATCTAGGGCTTTTTTTTTCTCATGGCCTTAACGTTTTTTGAAGACCGCAGGCCAGTTCTTTTGTAGAATCCAGAGAAAGTTTTTATAAATGAGAATGATAAAGATATGCCAGTATACATTAGCCAAAAAACAAGTGATGGAGTTTTAGTATCAAACGAAATAGGATTTTGGAACAGAAAGCATTAGTAACTTGAGGATAAAAGTCTGTTAATTAAGCGGATGTAACAATTTTCATATTTTATGTATCAAAGTAGCCTCAAAATACAGAGGAAAAATGGATAAAACCACAGGGAGAAGTTGACAAGTCCACCATCATAGTTGGAGATTTCAGTGTACCCTGTTTACTATTAGTAAGATAAACAGAATGCCCATATGTAGATTTGAATAACCAGTGAACAGGCATGGTATCATGGACAAACACAGACCTCTGTACCAAATAATTAGATATAGATCCTTTTCAAGTGTGTATGGACTATGGAAGAAAAGTTTATTATAAATCTACAAGGCAAGTCAGAAGATTTAAAAACAATTGGTACCATCCACACCATATAATTTATAATTTAAATATGAAGCAGTTAATGTTAGAAGGCAGTAATGAAGAAATTAACAAAAATCTATAGAAATTTGGAAATTAAACACCCTGGTAAATCATGGTTTTAAAAAGTAAAATGAAATTTAAGAATGCTCTCTGAACCATAATTAAAATACTAAAATTCTGTCTGTTCCTCTCTCCCCTCCTCTCCTTCCCTGTTACTATCTGGAACATTCAAGAAGCTGATCTTTTCAGTGAACAACACCTCAAATACTGAAAAGTAGAAAAGGACAAATGTCATTCTCTGATCTTAGTTAAATCTATAAGTTAGTAACAAAACCAGAAAACAAATATTTATTTGTGGAATTAAAAAACTCATATAAACAGCCTTTAGGTCAAACAGGGATTTGAAATTAAAACTACAGAATATCTAGAGAATAGCAATAATGCAATTATTACTTATCAAAGACTAAAAAAGAGCTCAGAGGAATGTTCATTGCCAAATCCTTACGCCATTAAGAAAAGAATGAAAATTAATCAAGCCTCTAACTCACTGTTAGGACAGCAGAAAAAAGCTTGAAGGAGGCCAGGGACGGTGATTCACGCCTATAATCCTAGCACTTTGAGAGGCTGAGACAGATGGATGGCCCAAACTCAGGAGAGGCCACCCTAGGCCACATGGTGAAACCTACCTCTACTAAAAAAACCACAAAAACAAAATGAAAATTAGCCAGGCATTGTGGTGGGCACCTGTTGTCCCAGCTACTCGGGAGGCTGAGGCAGGAGAATTGCTTGAACCCAGGAGGTGAAGGTTGCAGTCAGCTGAGATCAAGCTGCTGCAGTGACAGAGTGAGACTCCA